GCACTAAAAGAAGCATTCTATCCGCTATTGCAAAAATTTGGGATCCTCTCGGCTTCTTATCTCCGGTCTCATTTTTCGCGAAAGTTATAATGCAGAAGCTTTGGTTATGCAATATTGACTGGAATGAAACACCCCCTGAATCGATCACTACCCTTTGGAAGCAATTTAGTAATCAATTAAATAATCTTTCGAGTATCTGTCTACCTAGACACATTTTTCCAAATAAAATTCAACGTTGTCAATTGTTAGGTTTCTGTGACGCATCAGAACTAGGATATGCCTGTTGCGTGTACATTCGTGTTGAGCTACCTAACAATATTATCAAATCATCACTAGTCGTTGGGAAATCACGAGTTGCTCCCCTTCATACTAAATCCATTCCTCGTTTGGAGCCACCCTGCTAGCTGATTTGCTCGAATTAGTTATCCGAACTTATTCTTCGCTGATCCTAATCGATGAAATTCTTGCATTTTTGGACTCACGTGTTGCGCTGCATTGGGTTACCTCATCTCCTCACAAGTGGAAAACTTTTGTAGCGAACCGCGTCAGTCACATTCAAGAAACCATTCAAGTTCCTTGGTACCATATTCCTTCACTCGAAAACCCGGTTGATTGTGCCAGCAGAGGTCTAACCCCAAACAGTCTAATAAATCATCCTCTATGGTTCCATGGTCCGCCTTGGGAAATCCTGCCAACTATCGAGTGGAGAATAAAGAATTTCGTAGAGGAATTTTCCGAGGAAACACCTGATGAAGTCATAAAAGAGGAAAAGCCACTTAACAATACCGTATTAATGGCAGAATCGCATACTCCAAACTTTTTCGACAATCTAATAAGTAAGTTTTCTAACCTAACCCTAATTCAAAAAATTATTTGCCATTTTCTAAGACTTATTCATAATCGAAAAAACCTGAAAAATCCAATCTTGGGACCCTTTGCAGCTTTCGAATTGCACAAAGCCTTGCTTGTTTTAGTCAAAAGGGTCCAAGAAGAGTGTTTTCCAGACATAATTTCGAAAATACAAAATAATGAATTATTACCTAAGCCGTACCGCAAGCTCGCACCGTTTTTAGATGAGTCGGGTTTAGTCAGAGTGGGCGGTAGATTAAGGCATTCTCAGCTCTCTTTTGAGGCGAAACATCCCTTATTATTACCCAAAATTCATCATCTTACCAATTTAATCATAACTCAAACTCATATCGAAAATCTGCACCCTGGGCTTAATACAGTGCAGTATCTTATTCGCCAAAAATTTTGGATCATATCTGCGCGTAAAGCAATTCAAAAGGTCTTATCCCAATGCATTCGATGCGCTCGTTTAAAACCTAAATCATACACACCATATATGGCAGATCTACCCGATTTCAGAACTTCCCAGCTGAAGTGTTTCTCCCACGTTTGTCTGGACTATGCTGGTCCAATAAAATCCTTTGTAGGTCAAAGACGTCGTGGAGCGCAAGTCACGAAATCGTATATTGCGGTGTTTGTCGACACTTGTGTCAAAGCTATCCACATCGAGGTAGTTTCAAGTTTGACTACGGAAGCTTGCATTGCAGCGTTACGACGCTTTGTAGCTAGACGTGGCACTTGCGTTCAAATCGTAAGTGATCAAGGAACCAATTTTGTCGGAGCTATAAAAGAACTCCAAAACCTGTCAAGATTAGCTGCGGAAAGTCTGAACATAAAGTGGCACCTGAATAGTCCTGGTGCTCCCCACCTAAATGGCTTAGCGGAAGCGGGAGTCAAATCTGTCAAAACTCATTTATATCGCGTAATTGGCAACCAAATCTTAACTTTCGAAGAACTCTATACCCTTCTCTCACAAATAGAGGCTCTTCTCAACTCGAGACCTCTCTGGGAACAGAGTTCAGACCCAAATGACCTGTCACCACTGACACCTGGTCATTTTTTGACCACAGAACCATTAAATTCTTGTCCTGATCCGGACCTTTCTTCCCTAAAACTGAATACTTTAAATCGTTGGCAACTTGTTCAACGCCTTCATTCAGATTTTTGGAAGCGTTGGAAAATCGAGTACCTTAACACCTTGCAACAACGTTGCAAGTGGTCCGATCCTTCCGTCGAAATTAAGCTTGGCGCTTTGGTGTTAATCAAGGATGAATCCAGACCACCATTGCACTGGTCACTGGGAAGAATAGTAACCGTGCATCCTGGTCCGGATGGTCACGTTAGAATTGCTACAGTAAAAACACAGCACGGGCTCCTTACTCGTCCAGTGGTAAAGTTGTGCCCTTTGTTATTAGATTCGCGTTAAACTCAGATAAGCAATCTCTGTGTGTTGTGTTTTGTTTTTGTAGTTTTATTCCATTTTATTCTATTTTATTATTAGTATTATATATATTTTTTTCTCTCATTTATTCAACGTAAAACTCCGTTTTAAGTGGGCGGTTAATGTTCATGCAACTTTGTTATTTTATATATTTATTCAAAAATACGAAAGAAAAAACCGTTAAAAGCCATACAAGTTCAAATCAAAATTGGCACCGCTCGTGCAGACTCGGCGTATGTGAAAAATATGTGATTTATGAGAAGGAAGGACACAGTACGAAGCCGTGTCTCTAAAACCACGTCCGCTTTTTCGGTCCTTATCAAAATCAAAAAACCTATCGAATTCAAGGCAAAAATTCCTTATTTTTATTTCTAAGACGGTATTGTATCGGTGTGTGGCTGAGAAGCAGACTTTCTGGACACGAGGAGCTCCTCTGGATCGACGAAAACCAGCATAAACCAAGTAAGTGCCAATCCTCCATTGTCTTTGTATGGCTCGGGTTTATGTCCATTAATATTTGTGCGGCAAAAATTGAATTTAGCGCTACAGTCCCGCTGCTCTTTAAACTTTCGAAAACCTAACGCAAATTTTCGTGAACAAACTAAGAAAAATATCGTAAAGTTTTATCTGAGTGTCAAATCAACTTCCATTAAGTATATATATTTTTTTAAAATAAACATAAAGCTGATTTTAAAGGAATTCAATGATTAAACAGAGAAAAATATCATAATTCCCTATCTGAGAGTCGAATCAACTTGCAGTACTACATGATTTTTATTTTGAAACAAGTAGTTTTAAATTGTTGTGATAAGTAGAAGTATTTTTCACAGACCTTCAAATAGTGATTTTATAGGAATTAATTTGCGTTGAAATTATAGTTTAAATCGATCAAAAAATATAATAAAAATTGGATAAAATCTGGTTGAATAATTTTAAAAAAATCTAGTTTCAACCAGACACAAATCCATTGCATACACTCCAGCAATGAAGTCATTGAAACTAGAGGGCGTCTAATTTTATAACAAACCAAGAGATGGCCTTGAAAAAAATCAAATAAATGACCAAAAAAGTAGATAATTTTCTTGACATTAAACTCAATCTAACCTCAATCAACAAATGAACAATGTTCAATAATAATAATCAAACAATATATAAAATATTCATTGCACTGGCCTGAAGAATAGAACTAATAAAGTTCGAAACTGGGCTGTAGCTTTAGCTGCATCTAGCGAAATATTCGATAAATAGGGTACCTAAGTACCACCTTGGAATTTGGAATATCCATTGCAAGGAAACCAAAATTATCCAAAATAAACAGACAGATTCAGAAAAGAAAATCATGTTTTTACATTTAACCAAATAGAATTCTCAAGATTCTCAAAGGTTCTAATTCTGAGACTCATTTTCAGAAAGTAGACTATAAAATTTCTTCTTTTACTTGACTCAATTCCAAAGTGACTGCAAATTTTTTTTTTTTAAAAATCAGGCTTTAAAATCTTCATTGGAAAATTCTCTATCTCTATCGAAGGTTCTTATTTTCCTAGTTTCATTTTTTTTCTCCACAATTTTAACATAATCTTGTCAACATCGACTCACATTTTGTCTCACTAATTTGTTAATTTCAATTGGATTTTAACATAATTAGGGTTAAATTAAATTAAAGCTATTTAAATTCTTAGGTAGGTACTAATAATCTTTTATTGGTAGTTTCAATAGGAACAGTTTCGCCTTTCTTTTCTAACTTTTTTTTTCCTTTCCATACTTATTTTATTCCAACTGAATCAAAATATTTAATTTATTATAGGTTTGAAAATTTTATTTTTTTTAAATAAAACCAGAAACTACAGCAAATGAATTTATAGAACTAATTATACTTGAAATATGTCTAGAATTTTCCGGAGAATCCAGAAATACAGGTTGTTTCATTTAAAAAAAAATATTTTTTCTGTTTTTTAAACTTTTTGCAACACCCTGTATGTACAAAACTATGTTTTCTGAGAACTACTTTTCAAACACTACACCTTTCCTATTTTAATTTTTTTGATACACAGTGGCACAAAAAACCTAAGAGGGGTGGAAGAATATAAAAAAAGGTCCTGTACATTATTTTTTTGCAACTTTAATTTGAAATGTATATTTCTTAGTACAATAATTTAATTTGACACAAACATGTTTTGGAATGATTAATTTGATATTAATAAGCATTTTTGGACCTCGGACGTCACAGTCTAAGCCCAAGTTTTCGCAGCAGTTTGAAAATTCAAATAATTTTAATTAAAAAAAAATATTTTTTTTTATTTTGATACAGAGATGTTATTTATAGAGAATGATATAAGTAAGTAAGTAATTTATTACTTACCTCCAAAAATCTTTGACAGTTTGGAAAGAAACGATTTTCCTCTGGTTCCTCTCTCTTCAGGGCTGTTAATTGTATATCATTGTAAAGAGCATTACATTCTCTATAAATCTGTACTAAATTGAGTTGGATAGCTTAAATACTTTTTGAGCAATTGAGCCTCAAAGTTGAATTTTAGTCCAAATTTAGTTAAAAACCTGAAAATATTTTCCAATACATACAAGGTTTTTGGAGCACAATAGAAGCTACAATTCCTGAAAATTTTGTTTCAATATTTCTTAGGGAAAAAAATCAAAAATTGTTACAGTAACATTTAAGTTTTTCAATAAAGATGATTTTAAACATTTTTTTTAGGGTCATGGTATAATGGTCTCAGAAGACGGAACCCACTACGAAGGTGAATTCAAAGGCACAGGCCTAATAGGAGGCAAAGGCATTCTAACCCTGCCCACAGGCCATACAATAGAAGGACTCTTGACTGGCTCAATGGACCAAGGCATTAAAATCACCCAGGGAATATTCCAGAAAAAATATAGTCATCAGAAATCTTTTAGACAAGCACCTGCTCAGAAATGGCAAGCCTTGTTCAGACATTGTCAAGGAATTTTAGGAGACTCAGAAGACACTAGTCAAATATGGCAAAATGTTGCTGTGCATTTGGCTAGGTCGAAACAAAGTTTAAATAATTTGGATGTTATACTACCTTTTGGTGAAGACAAACTTAATGGGAAATCTTATAAGGATATTAAAACTTATTTAAGTCGAGTAAGTATTAATTATTACAAAAATAGAAAAACTTATTTATTTTTTTTTTAGGCCTTTGAAAGTAATTTCCATCCATTGGGTAATTTATTGAATAATTTATGTGAAGCCTACATATCTTCATACAGTGGAAAAATTCACTTAATTCTAGTCAACCATGCTATTTTAGAAATTACAGATTTAACTCAGAGAGTTTACAAAATTGTTCGTTTATTATTTCCTGCTTTGCCTTCTGAGCAATGTATAATTTCTTCTGAGGACAATAATGCTTCTAGAACATCAGAAATAATAATAAATTATCAATCGTTATTATACCCAATAATTCTACCAAAAATTTACAATTGCCTCTACACTTTATTAAGCTTGAAACATGAAATTGAAGACATAAAATACAAAAACAACTTGATTGAATGGAATAAGTTGCCAGACAAAAACCTAATGAGTTTACTTGGTGTAGAAAAGTAATAAACTAACTTTTATTAAACCCAAAAATGTTTTACAATAATTAACATCTATTTCTAGAAAATTCCAGAATTCAATATTCAATGAACCAATAGAAACCCTTCAGCAAATAATCACCATATTTCTACCCAATGAAAAACTTCTAATTATTAGAAAAACTATAGAAAAAATGACCCCAATAGCCAAAAAATTATTAGGAACTAATTACGTTTGGAACATGGATGATTTATTTCCATTATTTTTATACGTAGTGGTGCGTGCCAGGATTCCTCATTTGGGTGCCGAATTGGAATTTATGGAACATTTTATGGATAAGAGTATGGAAAATGGGGAATTAGGAATAATGTTTACTACTTTAAAAGTAAATTATATTTTAAATGAGTTTATTTATTGAAAATTTGTTTGTTTTTTTAGGCATGTTACCAGCAAATACTCCAAGACAAATCGCATTATTCTGATGCTCAATTATTGTGAAATTTTTATTTATAATAAATTATATTTTTATTTGTTATTATATATTTTAAGCTTTAAAAATTGTACCTGTGATTATTATTTAATTTTTGTGTTTTATGTTTATTAGAATTTTATGAATAAATAATTAATTTTTTAACTGAAGATTTAATTAATTTTTTATTAAGCATGCATTATATAAACAACGATTATGATACATAAAATGATGCTTAAGATGCGTCTATATTTTCAAAGGCTTGATTTAAAAACGTTTGATCTTTGATTTACCTTATAACTTGGAAATTTACCTGCTGTTTAAATTACTATTTATCAAAATGAATGAAACAAATTTAAAAAAAAATTGAGATTATGATGCATTCGTAATAAAAAATATGAAAATACCCAAATATGAAATTTTGAGGAAATATTTTTTAATCTTTGAGGCAAAACATACTAAAAATTTAAATCGATTTAACTAAAACTAACAAAGTTATAAGATTTTTAAAATTGAACATATTTTTGAGGATAAAACTGAAAAACTCTGTTGCCAAACTTCTAAGAAATATCATATTCATTGCTAAAAAAATCTTCTATAGAACAAGAAAATGAATTAAAAAAAAGATAGGTAGACAAATTTTAGAATGCAACATAGCAGAAAAAGATGAAATTCAAGAGGAAATAAAAAAAAAGTAAGTTTGTTTGCCCAGCGGATCTGAGTCTACGAAAGGAATTCGGACGTAAATGTACGATGTTGCCACGTTTAATTATAAAAAAAGCGAGAATACTAGGCATGAGTATAGTTCATTTGAAAATCCATTTTTCAATAACAAAATGTAGATAACAATAAAACGCTAAATATTTCAACGTGGTTGTTAGATCTATGCTTATTTTAATAACTGATTTCTTCAATTTTGTCTATTGTGAAAAATAAACATTTCCTAAAGAATCCATCAGCTTTTGACAATTTGGCAAGGATCCGGCCTGGATGAACCTGATTGGTGGAGTTTTTGGCAGGATTGCCATTGCCACGGGCAACCATGCAATTGTCATTGGGCTAACACGTCACCTCACGTCTCGCTATTGGCCAGGGCTCTTGTCATTTTATCCTTCCATCTTGGAATATCGATTTATATTGAAATATCCAGTGGCGGCGGTTTGGTCATTGTTGATTTTCGTGTACGACTTGCAATACGATAACATTTCCAAAAAGTTCCGCACGCAGCTGGGTATTTCATGAATGAAATCAGCCATTTTTTTTTACAACTGCATTCCCCTTACCGTTGCCCCGTAGACACAGACTCGCTGGGCAGACAAACAATTCCCTCTCCGGGGAGCCACGAGACCTTGTCGTTGGTGGAGAGGCTCAGCGGCCGTACGTCGTTGCAGAGATGTGGAGTCGTTTGGTCGTGACCAAGGGTGGCTCGCCATACCCGGGGAAAGCAGACACACAGCATCCTGGTATGCTGGGTGTCTGCTAGACAAACAGCGTGGAGGAGGACACTCGACTCGGCCTCAGCCCGCAATCTGGGTCTCGCGGCCCTGTTTCGGGATGGGGCCGAGTCGACTGCCCTCCGTGGAAACCTGCCTGGTATATCTCGCGCTCTAAGATCGGTGGTTGATGAGGAAGTATCTTAGAGCGTGAGGGCCTACCTTAACTGATCGGCCAAGTGGAAGGCGAACCGCAATAAAAATCCCTCCAAGTCACGGTGGAACAGCATAGGCCAAGGACTGCGCGGTTAGGGGAGAGCCTAATCGATACTATGCGAACTCCAGGGATGTGGCGACCCCACGGCTTAACTAGCCCGACCGGGACAAACGGGGCTCTGCCTCGGCCGTATGGTTTATTTCCCTAGCTACTCGTGGGACCTAACATGGACACACAATATGAATGATAGCGCCTCAAGCACATCCGAAAACATGGAAGTAGGGGACTGTAAAAGCCCCACTGACGTAGAAAAAGAACTTCTACGTTCAGACGAAGAACTCGGCAAAGATCTGAGGGCCTTACGACTGAAGGGCGACGTGAGGATCAGGCTGAGTGGCGCTGCCAGAAAGAGGATGAAATTCCTCAAAAAAAAAGGGATGAGTGCAGACGAAGCCCGCAAAAAGGCCCTTGAACCAATCAAAGAAAGGGCTAAAACCTCTGACAAGGGCGAAAAAAGAGCCCGGTCAGAAGGAAACACCCCCGAGGCTCAAGCCAAAAAAAGAGCTAGGACAAGGGATACGGGCAGAAATGCCCCGCCCACAAAAAAGGAAACGAGCAGCAGTGCTCCGCCTTCCAGAGCTCCAAAACCAACCTTCAGCCAGATAGCTGGAGGCATAAAGGTAGGAATACTATCTACAGACTTCTCCAATTGCCTTTTGTCAGTGGAGCAAATTCAAGCCACCAAAGAGGCAATTAGGGATAAGATCGTGGACGAGGTAGCATCGGATTGCCCGGTCAAACCGAAGTTTCTGAGCGCCCACAACAGACCCGGTTGGCTCGCTCTAGTTTGCGAAAACATAGCCACCAAGCAGTGGCTGCAAACTGCAGTCGCCTCCATCAAGCCTTGGAAGGAAGCTTCGCTAAGGATGGTAGAGGAATCTGACATTCCTCACTCTGACGTCCTAGTTGCTCGATTCCCAAGCAGCATGGATTACCTACTCCACGGAGAAAATCCTCAATCTCGTTCAAGGCCAAAATGAGGGCCTAAACGTCAAAAATTGGCGAGTCATCCGACGTAACGCCGAGGGCCATCTGGTCACACTAACCCTTTCTGTGAACAGTGCATCCGCAGAAAAACTCAAATCCGGAGGTACGCGGTAAGTTACAAGTTCGGTCATACGACTATAAAACCGCAAAGCAGACGGAGCACAACAGCTGTGGTGCAACCAAGCTCCCCAAAGGAAAGCGGCGCCGAACCAAGGGCAGGAACGTCTAAAGACTCAATGAGTCATAAAGACGAAAGTGCCCAGATGGAGTGCGAAAAGTGAGTGCAACTCTAATGGCTCCCTCCAAGCAACCAAAGAGAAGCAACTCACCATGCATCAAATGCATCCAAATAAATCTTCAACACTCAAAAGCTGCCACTAGTGAGCTTAGAAGAAGAATGTTTGGACAAAAAATCAACGTAGGGCTACTTCAAGAGCCCTGGGTCAATGGAGGCTCTATAAAAGGCCTAAATATCAAATCATGTAAGTTAATCTACAACATTAACCATGAAAGGCCAAGAGCAGCATTGCTGCTTGACAAAAATTTAAAATTTTTATCTGTTCCAGAGTTCATCACACAAGACTTGGCAGCTGCTTTAGTAGAAGTGCCAACGGAGGGGGGCTCAAGGCATATTCTCATAGCCTACTTTCCAGGTGATGATAACTCAGCACCGCCAGAGATCGTTCAACGACTCATCACGTGGTGCAGAGCGAGAAACAAACACTACATTATCGGGGCGGACGCCAACGCCCATCACCAGGTAGGATGGGGAAGCACCGATACAAACGCAAGAGGTGAGTACCTTTTTGAATATTTGAACTCTAACAACGTAGACATTATCAACAAAGGTAACAAACCCACTTTTATTAACGCCGTCAGACAAGAGGTCTTAGACGTGACTCTCGTTGACACATTTACATCTAACACAATAACCAACTGGCTTGTGTCAAATGAACCCTCCCTGTCGGACCATCAAGCAATAAGGTTCGACCTAAAGGCAGTTATAAATCACTCAGTACAGACAAGAATCCCAAAACTCACCAACTGGGTATCCTTTGTGGAGGGTCTGTGCCTGAGTCTAGATGAACTCTCTTCTGACATAAATACAATAGAAGAGCTAGAGGCATCATCTGACAATCTAACAAATGCGATAAAAGATTCCTATGAGAACAGTTGTCCCGTAAAACAGAAGGCAGTCCACAGGGATGTGACTTGGTGGAACGGGCAGCTGAGACGTCTGAAACAAGATGCCAGAAAACTGTTCAACAAGGCAAAAACTAACAGCAACTGGGCAGACTATAGAACAGCCCAAGACAAGTATAACCGTGAATTAAGAAAATCAAAAAGGAAATCATGGAGACAATTCTGCGAGGGGATTGACGAATTAGCCCCAGCTCAACGTCTCCAATAAGTTCTTTCAAAAAACCACTCAAACGGAATTGGTCTGCTTAAAAAGCCAAACGGAGAACACTGTACCGACCATATAGAAAGTCTAGAGGTACTACTACAAACTCACTTTCCAGGTTCGGTAATCGTTGAAGCCCTGAACCAGGTCACTCCGCCTATCGAAGGGCCACAAAGCCCTAACGGCAGGAGCAAAAGGCTGGCTGGGAAAATCTTCACAATGAACAGAATAAAATGGGCGATCGATAGCTTCAGACCCTACAAATCTCCAGGCAAAGACGGGATTTTTTCCGCACAACTGCAAAAAGGCTACGAGTACTTAAAGGTATACCTACAAAAGCTTATTACCGCTATCTTGGAGGGAAGCTAATTGTGATATTCATACCAAAAATTAACGGGTCGCCGACCCGAGGACGAACCAAAATCATATCGTCCCATTAGTCTAACCTGCTTTCTCTTCAAGACAATGGAGAAAGCAATCATCAGAAGCGAAACTCTATTGAGAAGACCGCTCTACTCGAAGCAATTTGCCTATCAGCCAGGCAAATCTACAATAAGTGCTTTACACTGCCTGGTTAAAGACATTGAAAAGACAATCGAGTGCAAAGAGATCGCTCTCACAGCTTTCATCGACATAGAGGGAGCCTTTGACAACACCTCACATCAATCAATCGCCAGAGCATTACAAGAATGGGATGTTGAAGTTCCAATTGTAAAATGAATAGAGTCGATGCTGAAGCACCGTCACGTTACGGCTGAAATAAACGGAGCATCAGCCACCACGATCAGAGGGTGTCCTCAAGGGGGTGTTCTTTCTCCGCTAGTATGGACACTGGTGGTAGACAAAATTCTTACCAGACTGAGTAGTGCTGGATACCAGGTCATAGGTTACGCAGATGACCTAGCCATTGTAATCAAGGGCAAACATGAAGGTATAGTGACAAGCCGAATGCAAAGTGCCCTAAACATCGTTAAAAATTGGAGCGAAGGCGAAGGACTATCGCTAAACGCAAACAAAACAATCCTTGTCCCGTTCACAAGAAGAAGGAAGCTAAATTTGAAAGCCCCGACCCTTAACGGTACACAACTAACATTTTCCAACGAAGTGAAGTACTTAGGAGTCACCCTGGACCAAACCCTCACTTGGAACAAACAGAGAAAACATGCTCTCGAGCCTCATCAGCCATTTGGTCATGCCGAAGACTTGTTAGCAAAACATGGGGGCTAAAGCCAAAGATGGTATTCTGGATCTACCAAACCATAATAAAGCCCATGGTCACATACGCCTCATTGGTGTGGTGGCCCAAAACCCAACAAGTCACCGCTCAGATTAAGCTAAGAAAGGTGCAAAGGCTGATATGTCTAGGAATAACGGGAGCAATGTCAACTTGCCCCACCGCAGCCCTAGAGACGCTACTCAACATGCCTCCACTTCACCTATGTGTGAAAAAGGAGGCAATAACCAGCGCTCACAGGCTATTCGAAATAGACAAGTTCAAGCCTGGCGATCTGAGGGGACATCTGAAAATCGTTGATCTAATAACACTGGAGAATGCCAGCAAACCAAGTGACCACATGATGGTCAGATTGGACTTAGAGATCCCCTTCGCAGTGGTAATAAACGACCGCCAATCATGGGACAATAAAGAACTACCACAAGCAGACAATGCATCTCTGTGGTACACAGATGGATCCAAGCTAATGGTAGGAGCTGGACTGGGCATTTTCGGCCCTAACTTCAAGTTCTCGAAGGCATTGGGTAAACATCTTATAATATTTCAAGCCGAACTGCTTGCCATAAATATATGTGCACAAGAGTGTCTTAACCAAAGCCTCAAAAGAAAACACATCTTTATACTATCGGACAGCCAAGCTGCCTTAAAAGCCTTGAGGGCTTTCAAATGCACGTCAAAACTAGTCTGGGAGTGTAAACAGACCCTAAAAACACTAGCGACACATAACCAGGTAACGCTGATGTGGCTGCCTGGTCATCGAGGCATAGAAGGAAACGAAGAAGCAGATGGCCTCACAAAGGAAGGGGCCTCAACATCATACCATGGACCAGAGCCCTACTGTGGCTTAATGAAAAGCCACATCATGGAAGAACTCAACAAATGGCAGAAAGACCAACTGTCATCATATTGGAGGCACACACCGGGACTCAGACAGTCAAAAAGGTTTATTACCCTTTCAGCAAAAAGAGCTGAACAGCTCCTAAGCATGAGCAGACCAGACATCAGATTGGTGGTGGGATTGCTCACAAGACACTATTCAGTAAAATACCATTTAAGGTTAATGGGCAGAGCGGAAGACGATCTCTGCAGATTCTGCTCAGACGCAATAGAAACCGCAGAGCACCTGCTCTGCGAATGTCCAGCCCAATTCTGCAAGAGGCTCAAATTCCTCGAGGGGGCAACACTGTCACCAGAAGAAGTGGGCCAACTGACACCCAGGAAAATAGCTTCCTTCGGCAGAAGTCTACGCTTCCTGGAGACAAATTAAGATGTAGAGTCACGCACAAAATATCTGCAAAGGTAGCAGTGCTGAGCGGCTGAAAAGCCGAAACGACTCCCCCGAAATCTACAATCTACAATCTACCTAAACAATTCAGAAAACTATCTGAAAATGATTTTTCTTTTTAAAATTTTTATTAATCAGTACGAGTTATACATAGACTTTGCCGTACCTATCTCGTTAAAAATTAATTACAATTTCGATAATTATAATACAAATAAAATGCAACGCATTTGAATGATTTTCTTTCAAAAATCATCTTGAAATAAATAGGTATATTAACTTACATAATCAATAATAAATTCAAACAAAAATATTTGTCTCCATATACATAATCATATTTTAATTAAATCATAGCTAGTACCATTTCATTATACTTCCTGCTCAAAACAGGAACTTATAGAATTTACGGAAAATAGGTATTAACTTATATATTATCTCATCATTATGTGGTACCACCACATCACCCATATTGGGTCTATCATTGCAGTTGCAGTTGCATTTTACCATTTAGTACTCTGGCGGTACTGCACCATTGCAGTCACGCGATAGTACCTGTCTACCTTGAGAATACTCGGGAATTATTTGTTCTTCGTTTTTAGTGACATAACAAAATAATAATTTGTTTTTTTGTTAAAAATTAAGGTAAGTATATATTTTTGTATACTAATTTATTTATAGAAAATTTTTTCTAGCAAATTAAGACATAATAATATATAAATTTGAATTAATTACTATTATTGGCTTTTTTGATTTTTTTAAACAATTATTCTAAATTTAATTTTTTTTTCTAAACTTGAGAAGTTTTTAAAATCAAAAAACCTAAAACTCAATTACTTTCTATGCAAATGTAAAATGAATTTCTTACATAATTTTATATGTTATAATATAATAATGAAAATTATAAATAATTAATTATGCATACATTTTATTAATTGACTTTCTATGAATGTCGATCTAAAAATAATAAGAATAATTTATTCATTTCAGAGATCAAAAATCTAGGAAATTAAAGTAAAAGTATTGTTAATTTCCCTTGTTTTTATTTTGTTTCAATTTTTAATAATTTTTCAAAGGCTTCAAAACGACTTCAAATTTCCACGATTCAATAATTATTACAGTGACTTTTTTTTCTTCAAAATGTTTGAATAGGTAATTCTTAATAAATTACCTTTGAAAACTTCTGAAAAATACTTCAAAAACTCAGAACGACTTAAAATTTTCAGGATTTATTAATTTCAGCGTTTTTAATGAATGAGATAAATTTGAAGTAGGTAAATAGAAGTCCACAAGTGGAGGCATATCGATATTTTGAAAATATCGTATCGAATATGAAAACATCGATAAATTATTACTGCTTTCTTTTTAATTGTTACACATTATTTTTTAACATTTTTTCCTCATTCTCTTTTAATTTTAAAATAATAATAGGCCTTTTAAGATATAAACAAAATAATAATACATTTTTTTGAACCACCAAACTGCAAACAGTGAATTAAATCAAAAATTATATATAATTTGTTGTACTCGAATTCACATAAAAATTATACTCGTAAATATCTAATTATGCTACAGAAAAATTCTTAAGATATTTTAATATTTTTATTATTTGTTAAATGATCAAAGTATCCAAAACAATTCAAATTCAAATCAGAGATTTCAGGAGCATTTTTGAACAATTTAGAAACTAGAGTTATTTCAGATTCAGTTTAGAACTCTTTTAAACCAATTTAGAGCATTTTGGAGCTTCACAGTGGCGTATCAACCCAGCTCCGGGCCTGTGTGCCAACATTTCTGCGGGCCCATCACAAGCCCCCTGCCAGAGGCTAAATTTTTTTTTTGAGTAGGTAACCCAAACTAACCCAAAAGTCGTTCAAAAAACACTCCTTAAATTTTTTATTAGGTATTTTTATTTAAACGTTGAATTGTGAATTCACCATTTTCAAAAGTGGTATGAATAATTATATCCTGTTCACAATCCGATGTCCACAGGTGCAGGTAAATTTATCACCATAGGCGCAACTAGGGGAATGCTTGGGGGTGCTAGCACCCCTAAAGCAAAAATTAGCACTCCTATTCGGCACTACCTAACACTTATATAAAAAATTAGTGCAACCAAATAATTTTATGTAAGTAAGTGCAAAAAACACTTTTTGTACTTACTTACGTCATCGATGACGTCATAATTTAGAAAAAAGTTTTTCTTGTTGATTAATTCATAGAGCACGTTCGCAATTATTATTGTTAAAATCAAGACTTACCTTAAAATATACGGTTTTTATGTTATATTAACATTTAGGATGACGTCATCGAACAAGGTCAGACAATGTTGTCAATGTCTATGTTTATTCTATATCTTAAGGTGACATTGAAATACCGGCTCTTAAAAAATCATTGGAGTCCCAAATATATAAATTAATTACCTGCGTATTATACAGGGTGTTCTTAAATATCATGTACAAACGACAAAGGGTGATTCTTTTTTTTTACGACTGAAATTTCAAATATGTTCTAAAAAAATATACTTATTTAAGCAATTAAAAAAAAATCACCCTCTTACATTTTAATTTTTTTCTAGAAAACTTGCAAAGAGAAAATTTTGAAAATTTTCCAGGAATGAGAGGAAAATGAAAAGCTCATTTTACGAAAATTTCAAAATTTTTCAGTAAAAAATTAATCCAGGAAAAATTTTGAAAAACTTACTTTTCAGCAAAATTAAGGAGAATTCATCCTCTTACATTTTAATTTTTTTCTCGAAATCTGGCAAAGGGAAAATTATGAAATGTTTCCAGAAGTAAAAGAAAAGTGAGGAGCACTTTATAGAAAAATTTCAAAATTTTCCAGTCAAAAATCACTCCAGGAAAAATTCTGGGAAATTGACTTTTTTAGGCAAAATTCACCCTCTTAAATTTTGATTTTTTTTGGGAAACTGGCAAGAAAATCGTGAAAATTTTCCAGAAAAAGAAGAAAATAAAGAGCTCATTATAGTAAATTTTGTAATTTTCGAAGACTCGTAATTTCCGTAATTTTTCTTTAAAATTTTTTTAATTCCTGTCATTTCTCAAATAATTCTTATAATTTTTTTATTAATTCCTGTTGTTTTTCAAATTTTTGTAATATTTTAATTCCCGTAGTTTTTCAGAAAATTCCGTTATTTTTATAATTCCACGTTTTTGTATATTTCAAAAGTTAGTAGGTAATTCCCGTAATTTTCGTATTTTTTCTGGGCATTTTTCAAAAGCATTTCCCGAAAGCCTTTGTGATTTCTAATTCTCGTAATTCCCGTAACTTTTTCGTAATTTCTGTATTTTTTTATAATTCTCGTAGCTTTGATAGTTTTCGTAATTTTCAATTCAATTTTCAATTGTCGTAATTTTTTAAATTTCTTGGACGTTTTTTGAAATTTTATAATTTCCCGGTCTTTATAATTTTTGTAATTGTAATTTCTGATTCTAGTAATTTTTGTTATTTTCTAACTTTTTGAAAATCATCATAGGTTTTTTCGATTTTTGCAATTTGTTAATAAATTTCCGTGATTTATTTCCAGAATTTTCGTAACTTTTGTAACTTTTCTAATTTCCATAATTTTTTAAAAATTTAATTATTTTCCGTAGTCCCGAAATTTTTCGTAATTTCTGCAATTTTTGCAATTCTCGTAATTTTCGTTAATTAACAAATTCCTTAATTTTTGTGTTATTTTCGTAAAACGTAATTTCCAATAATTTTTTGCAATTCTACGTAATTTTTGAAATTCGCGTAATTTTTTTCAATAATTTTCATTGTTTTCCGTAATACTGGATTTTTTTCTAATTTTATAATTCTTCTCTCAATTTTTTTAATAATTAATGTAATTTCCATGATTTTTTGAAATTTTTGTGATTTTTGTTAATATTTTTCCATATTACGTAATTTTCCAATAATTTTCGTAATTTTACATAATTTTTGAAATTTCCATGTTTTTTTTTCGTAATTTTATAATTCTCCTAATTTTTCAATAATTGTAATTCCCGTATTTTTTAAAATTTCCGTGATTTTTTGTAATATTTGTTATTTTTCATTTTTATAATTCCTGTAATTTACGTACGAATGACTTTTGTAGTTCTACGTAATATTTGAAATTGCCAATAATTTTCTTTGCTTTTGTAATACTCAAATTTTATAATTCTGCTTCTTAGTTTTTAATAATGGTGGTTTCCGTAACTTTTTAAATTTTCCGTGATTTTTGCAATTCTCGTAATTTTTGTTACTTTTTCGTTATACGTGATTTTCCAATGTTTTCAAAATTTTAATAATTTTAGAAGTTCCCGTGATTTTTTTCGTAATTTTATAATTCTCCTAATATTTTTCAAATTTCATTTTCGCAATTTACCCATGATTTTCGCAGTTTTACATAATTTTTGAAATTCCCGTGATTTTTGTAATCCTCGTGATTTTTGTAATTTTTTCGTAATTTCCGTAATTTGCTAATGATTTTTGCAATTTCACGTAGTTTTTGAAATTCCCGTAATTTTTTAAAATAATTTACATTACATAAGTATTTGAATTCCCGGTTTTTTTCGTAATTTTGCAATTCTCATTTAAATTTTTCAATAATTGTAAGTGCTGTAATTTTTTCAAATTTTCATGATATTTGCAATTTTAATGATTTTTGTTATTTTTTTGTAGTTTCCGTATTTTATGTAATTTTTCAATTATTTTTGTAATTTTGCATAATTTTTGAATTTCCAGTATTTTTCAATTTTTTTTTTATTTTCATTGCTTTTGTAATATCCGATTTTTTTGTAATTTTTCAATTTTCCTCTTAGTTTTTTAATAATTAATGTATTTCCCGTGATTTTTCAAAATTCCCGTGATTTTTGCAATTTTTCCGATTTTTTTCATTTTTTCGCGATCCCTGTAATTTTTGAAATTTCTATAATTTTTTAATTTATTTTTATTAATTCTATATTTTCCGTATTCCTGTATTTTCCGTAATTTTTTAATGGAATTTTTATAATTTTCCTAATTTTTGTGATTTCCGTAATTTTTTGAGAAATCTTCGCAAATTCGGTAATTTTTTGATTTTTTCGTAGTTTCTAATATTTTTCAATTTTTGTAATTCTCTAATATATACTACTCAAAACGAAATAAGGACCACTTTTAAGAGCAGGGTTTTCATTAAATTTTGAATAACCCTGGTAAAGTGACTATTTCCATTTACAATAAGTATTATAGATAAACAAATAAAGTGTGCACAAAAAATTTATATTGTGAATGGAAATAAACACATTACCAGGGTTATTCAAAATTCATTAAAAATAGATGGGTTTTCAAAAGTGGTCCTTATTTCGTTTTGACTAGTTTAGTTATTTATGTATCAAGGGAATTATGAGGGTGTTAATACCCCAGGGAAAGGCCCTCGGGACACCATTTGCCCGTGGGTATTAACACCTGATAATTCCCGTGGTACATAGATAATTTTATTTCTTACTGAATTTACTGTATTTTGTCCATTTTTATAAAGAAATAAACCATAAACCAAAATATCTATTTTATGTCAAAGTTTCACCTATTCAAGGTAAAAGCGGAAGTTATGGAAATCCTGAACTCCCTTAGGAGTTAAGACCCTGTTTATGATTATCGCAGTGTTGCCAATCTGAATTTGT